TAAAAAAAAAAAAAAAGACACAAATGAGTGGTAAAATTACAAAGAAAAGCACAGAAGAAATTACCATAAAAACCAGAATGATGTTAGTTTTGGTGAAACAGATGGGTGTGTGATCAATAACGGCCACATGGCAAAGGGCTTCTGGGGTGCTAGAACTGCTCTATTTCTTGACAGTTACACAGATGTTCACTAGATAACTCTACTGTTTGTATTTATACTTTATGCAATTTTATGTATTCGAGTTATATTTTATTTATTTACTTTAGGGCAGGGTTTACAGGGTGTCCAGGGCCTCACTATGTAGATTGGACTCATAGTGATTCTGCTGTTTACAGCCTCCCAAGAGCTGGGATTATAGGGGCATGCCACCATGCCCAGTCTCAATTGCCTTCTCAGTGCGACCCAGGGGCGGGGCCGGCACAGCACGCCAGGGATTGAACCCTTGCTGCTGCACTTTGCACTTTAGTCCACTGAGGTATCTGGCTGACCCTACATTTTTTTTTTTTTTTTTTTTATGTATTTGGTACAGGGTCTCACTACACAGCTCGGACTCATAGTGATCCTCCTGTTTTCAGCCTCCCCAGTGCTGGGATTACAGACATGCACCACCATGAATGGTCTTATGTTATATTTTATAATGTTAAGAAAAAAAAAGGTTTTCTTTTTTTTTGGTACCAGGAATCTAACTCAAGATTTTATGCTTACCAGGCAGGTGCTGTGCTATTGAGCTATATCCCCAGCCCAAGAAAATTTTTTTTAAAAAATCAATGTTTTGATGTCTCTAGCATGTGCGCCAGACAAGATTTCTTCACAAAGAAAGTAAGACAGGACAAGAAGCCATCTTCTCCTACTTATACCCCAAATCATTCACTTACCCAGTGGTGACAGCATATTTGATGTGGTTGCTTGTGGTATAGATAAACACCCCACTCTCATCCCAGGCCCCACTCTTGACACGAATGTTCTCATGAATGTTACACAGAGCATCCAGTTTTCGGTTACAGATCACAATGGCTGTAAGAGGCAAAGGGCATGAGTGCTCTGGTGGACAGGGCGAGTGCAGCAGACTGGTGGGGTGGGGGAGGGAGAGGAGCATGCATGTCAGGACGGATATAATGAAGACCTACCGTGTTTGGCCAGTAGCGCCACATGAGACATGTCTGCGGACCAGATAACGTATTTCACTTTGGAAATCTTCACAGATGCCAGTGTTCTGAGATAAGAAAGAATTAAACATGAGTGGACCTGATTTCCTTTTCTACAACTATGACCTATTTTTTTCACTTTCAAATGAATATAAATCCTGACTTCTTAAAATTAATACTGGGGGCCTGCCCCATAGCTCAGCTCTTTAAGTGGCTGCTTCAACAAAGCAGTCAGGCTCAGGTTGCTGTGGTTCGATTCCCACAACTCAAGCCAGCCAATCATGCC